CGCGCAGGATCCGCCTGGCCCGCCGGGCCCCGTGATCCTGGGCATGAGGCTGGCCCACAGCAGCCGGCCGGCCCCGGAGATCCAGGACTACGGCATCCTCCAGGTGCTGGAGGGCACCGAGATCCAGCTGCGCCTCTACGGGCTGCGCATGGAGGACGCCCCCCTCTACCAGGTGGTCTCCTTCTCCGAGGTGCCCGAGGGGGGAGGAGGAGGAGGAGGAAGGGGCAACCTCACCACCGCCGGCGGGGCCAATGCCAGCTGCTCGGAGAAGAGCCAGGACCTGGTGGTGCAGCCGCGCCGGGGCGAGAGCCGGGAGACCTCGGCCGTGGTCTTCGTCAAGGTCCAGTTCCTGCGCAAGGCGGAGAAGTCCAAGCTCTACGTCCTGTGCACCCAGCGGGGCGGCCCCGGGCAGCCCTGGCAGCCCCTGGAGGGCGAGGACGCCTTCCTGAAGGTGGTGGAGGAGAAGAAGCACCTGCTCCCCCTCTGGCTGCAGGTCATCCTCATCGCCTTCCTCCTGATGCTCTCGGGCATGTTCAGCGGCCTCAATCTGGGCCTCATGGCCCTCGACCCCATGGAGCTGCGCATCGTCCAGAACTGCGGCACCGACAAGGAGAAGCGCTACGCCCGCAAGATCGAGCCCATCCGGCGCAAGGGCAACTACCTGCTCTGCTCCCTCCTCCTGGGCAACGTCCTGGTCAACACCACCCTCACCATCCTCTTGGACGACCTCATCGGCTCCGGGCTGGGGGCCGTCATCGCCTCCACCGGCGGCATCGTCATCTTCGGGGAGATCGTCCCGCAGGCCCTCTGCTCCCGCCACGGGCTGGCGGTGGGGGCCAACACCATCATCCTCACCAAGTTCTTCATGCTGCTGACCTTTCCCCTCTCCTTCCCCATCAGCAAGCTCCTGGACTGCGCCCTGGGCCAAGAGATCGGGACCGTCTACAACCGGGAGAAGCTGGTGGAGATGCTGAAGATCACCGAGCCTTACAACGACCTGGTCAAGGAGGAGCTGAACATGATCCAGGGAGCCCTGGAGCTGAGGACCAAGACGGTGGAGGATGTCATGACCCCGCTCCATGACTGCTTCATGATCAACAGCGACGCCATCTTGGATTTCAACACCATGTCGGAGATCATGGAGAGCGGCTACACGCGGATCCCCGTCTTCGAAGAGGAGCACTCCAACATTGTGGATATCCTTTACGTCAAGGACCTGGCCTTTGTCGATCCGGACGACTGCACTACCCTGAAGACCATCACAAAGTTCTACAACCACCCGGTCCATTTCGTCTTCCACGACACCAAGCTGGATGCCATGCTGGAGGAGTTCAAGAAGGGTAAGGCGAAGGGAACGGAGCGGCTTCTGGCCCAGGCGGGCAAACTAACCTGTTCTTGGGGGCGTTTCCTGTGTTTTGTGATAGAAAACCCGGGTTTGGCATCAGTAGCTTCCTTAGCAAGGAGCTGTCGTCAACCCTGACGCCCTGGTGGATCCACTTATTTCATGCTTGTGTTTCCAAATACAGTGGTGCCTCGCTAGACAGTTACCCCGCATGACAGTTTTTTCGCTAGACATTGACTTTTTGCAATCGCTATAGCGATTTGCAAAACAGTGATTCCTATGGGGGAATTTCGCTGGACAATGTTTGTTCCCTGCTTTGCAAACTGATTTTCGCTAGACAATGATTTGCTTTTCGCTAGACAATGATTTCTCTAGACAGCGATTTCAGTGGAACGGATTATCATCGTCTAGCAAGGCACCACGGTACATGGACTCCTTTCCAGGATTTCTGTCTCTCTCTCTCTCTCTCTCTCTCTCTCTTTTTCTCTCTTGCCTATTCACAGCCACCAATGTTGTGAACAGACCTGTAAGGTGAATAAACTTCCGTGCCTTCTTGAGCAGATTGCGCTACCCTGCCCCTCACTCGAGGGTTTTACCCTCTTCAGGCTTAATTGCTTTCTTAACACACACACACACACACACACACAAATGGAATGGGTTTCTGAATTTCAGCTCTCTTCTTGTGAATAGACTGTGATTTAGGGATGGTTATGTTTCCTCTCCCCAGACGCTACATACTGGCCTGAACCAGGTATAACCCCCCCACACACAACTTTGCCAAACAGAAACAAAGGCGAAAGTTTATAAAACAAAGCGCCTGAGGTTACTTTTGATGCAACTTCTTGTAGAAAAACAAGCTAATGAGGATCACGTAGGAGACAGAATCTTTCCGGAAGGAGATCCTTCCGGCCTTGGGCCAGATTAGCTGGCTGACCGGGGAGGGGGGGGGCAGGAAAGTAAGCCTAGCTTCGCCAGCCTTTTGCCCAGAATAGCTGAGCGCCAGGCCTGGGAGGAATCGCTTTGCACACAGAAATATTTGGAGACCTTGAAAGCAAAGAAGGAATGCCACCGCACTGCTGTGCCGTGCCAGGGCGAGCCCTCGTGGGCGACCACCCACTTCTTCAGAGACTAGCTGGTGCAGAGATTGATAAGTTAGTCTTCAAAGTGCCACCACCACTTTGTGTGGGCAGAGCATACTGGCAGGGCTGCCTCTGGGAGAAAAATATAAACGCTTGTTGTTACTTTGGGCATTGGTGAGTCAGATGCAAGACTCAGATACCAGGGACCCACAAGCATTTCTGTCGGTTGCAAGCAACTTTCTTACTTCTGTGGATGCCCACTTTCCTTGCAAAAGGGGTGTTTCCAACCTTTTTTCTGGGGGAGTTCCAGGAAGCTTAGGGTGCTGTGATGAAATTAACGTCTCCGTTAAATGGAGAAGACTCTTAAAGCTGCAGGGTCACAATCAGCTGCCGGCCCTTCCAGATTTCCTTAGTGGGACCTAGATGCATGATTGCTTTCTTTGAAAGCTATAGTGTCAAGGCCAGCCCGTCATGAATCGGGTAGGGGCGCGATCCACCCGGGAGTCAGCTTTCTGGAGCTGCCTTGTCCCTGTTTATGTCAAAAGCGCACAACAGCTCTGCTTTGAAGGGTGCCACGGATTTTCTGCCATTTTCAGCTGGGATACTGGATAGAAACATTCTGCATGTAGAAATAAAGGAGGGGCGAGTTGTCTAGGGCTTTGAAAAACCCTTGTGTCAGCATGAAACATTTCCCTCTCTTTGCAGTCCAAACACAGCATCATGGGGGGTTCTCCGTGAACTCTTGGCATAGCTTTAGGAGGAGAAGTGAAACCACAGAGTGTGTACATCTCTCTCTGTGTGTACTTCGGTGGCAGTTGTTTTTCTGCATTCCCCGTTTGAAGGAAATGTTTTAGCCGCTTTCTGCGAGGAGCGTGGGACGTAGAACCCAATGGGGTTGTGGCTTCGGACGGCCCAGTGCAGTTTTACTGTTGGGAAATGCTGTTGATCTGGCCATATTTTTGGCTCTGCAATGAGAGTTTGCCCCCCCCCAAGAGGTTCCCCGACCTTCCCCTTTGAATGGCTAATGAAGGTATTGACTTAGGGCGTCACAGGAACTAAATTAATACATTGGTTGCTTGAAAGATCTGAATGAATAGATCCGTTTAAATCGTTACAGTCTGGTGGAGGCAGGAGACCCCGCGTGTGTTTCGTTGTCCTGCTCTGGCCTTGTCCTGAGAGTGGCCGGTGGGTCGTGGTTCCCTTTGGCTCTGGATCTGGGGGTCATTCATGGTGCCAGGATGCTAGCAGGGTTGAGAACCCATGAAAGGAATGGGTTTTTATTTTACATACAGATGAGTCACTCTCATCAGTGCCTTCCTTCTTTCTAATCAGGATTTACTGCGAATGGATAATCCCCAGTGACGTCCATTCAGTACAATCAAATCGCTCAGTTACTCCCAGCACTGAGGCAACAATAGAGAAACGCTGACATCCTCAAGGAGGCTGTCTGCTGTGTCTCCGTATGAGTTGCTGCCCAGGAATTTCCTTCTCCTTTGCATCCGGAGAGAGAAGTGACTGATGCTGAGATGCTCCTTGGCTGTCCCAAATCCTTGCGTGTTTCCTCAGAAGTAAGCTCACTGAGTCAATGTATGTGTTAAGGATCAAGGAGCCCCATGATAGTGAGGGTGGGCAGGAATGGCGGTCTAGGCACATCTGGATGGCCGCATGTTTCCTGTGCATCTCTTATATAGGGTTGTAAGTTAACAGTGGGTCATTTTAGCCCCAACACTGCGATAGGAGGTAAGCTCCATTGAACGCAATGGAAAGTGTAGCAACAGCAATAGCGCTGTAGTGTCAGGTCAGGTATGAATCCTTCTGAGCCTCCCAGGGTTTTCTGCATACTGAGAGGTTTCCCCTCCATTTGGTGGCACTCTGGGACACACCAACCCACCCTGTACGTCTTGCCCAAAGTGGCGCAGGTGGTAGAGCACGTCAACTTCTCTGCCACACTCGCCCCAGTGATCTTGGGTGGCCCCTTTCCTGGGAGGCATTTGAGGGGGGGGAATTCAGTCTCCCAGCTGTGCAGCCATGTGCTCCGTCCTACTAAGCTACAGTAATTCTCAATGGGCCTCCGTTCCTCCATAAATCTGTCTACAACTGTGTTGCTGAGTGTTCTTAGATGTGAAAGTGGGGTGTGTGTGGGTGCGCATGCACAAAAAATTAGAGGGCTGAAGGACCTGTAAAATGTGGGGCAGGGGAGGGAATTCCAATAGGTATAAGTTAGTCCGACTGCTGAACTCCAGGAGTTGGTGTTGCAGACGGGGTCGGAGCCAGCTTGGTGCTGAATCAGGAGCAGAAGTGGGTAACCAGATATGCATGCACACAAGGGGGCCTGTCACACTTCGACTTAGGCCTCTGGTCAGGACTGGCAACAGGTGGCTCTCTCTCTGGCCATCCTACCTCGTAGGGTTGCTTTGAGCCTAAACAGGGTCAGGGGAGAAAAGCCATGGGCCTTCAGCCTATAGGGAAGGTGAGGTGTAAATGTAGCTGAGAAGTCAGTGGAACTAAATCAGAGGAAAAGGGAAGGGATTTGTGCCCGAGTTGAGATAAAGGGGAGGCCTTCACCACGTAGGTGACCCCCACGACCTTGGAAATGGGTGCCCCCTGAAATGCTGGGGTGAGGTGCCCCCACCTTTGAAGTATGGATCCTGACAAAAACCTTGTGAGTTTTGAGAGAGATCTGTGAGTTGAGAAAAAGGGGAGGCCTTCACCGCGTAGGTGACCCCCACAACCTTGGAAACGGGTGCCCCCCGAAATGCTGGGGTGAGGTGCCCCCACCTTTGAAGTATGGATCCTGACAGGGCATGGTCGAGACTATGATGGAGATATGCCAAAGAGATATGTGGTACTAATAAACATCTGCAAATTTGTGTTTTCCAGCAATACAAATCTACTCATTTGATATTATAGGGTGAAGAATACTCTCCTCATTTGCAACGTTTGAAATGTTCTTTATAAGTGAAGGCCTGGGTTCCCTTCCCTTTTTTACCTCCACTTGATTACCGTTGGAGATTAAGCGCTGGGAAAGCCAGGGTCAAACTCTGGCCTGTGAACAGCCGGGTGGCCGCCTGCAGTCTCTGATTTGTCCTAAATTTTGGCTGTCATGCTGGAGTGAGTGTTGTGCGGGTGGTTGACTTTGGCTTAAATTGCCATGTACAGTAGTTATTTTCTTAGCTCAATAGAACAAGTTAGGATGGACAAGAGTAGACTTCGGTTTAGATGGGCGTGGTAGAAATTGAATGAATGAATGGATGGATGGATGGATGGATGGATGGATGGATGGATGGATAACTGCTTTTATCTTATCATTTAATTTTAATTTTATTCTATGTTATTCCAACATTGTCTGGTAGCTGCTGCCATTTATACAATACATCCCATCGTTCAGTTTCTTTTTGAATTGAACAGTCTTTCAGCCCATCTGACAGAATATCCATTTTTTTCATGCTGGAGTGAGTGTTGTGCGGGTGGCTGACTTTGTCTTAAATTGCCATGTAGTTATTGTCTTAGCTCAATAGAACAAGTTATGATGGACAAGAGTAGACTTCGGTCTAGATGGGCGGGGTATAAATTGAATGAATGAATGAATGAATGAATGAATGAATATAAATGCACATTTTAAGACCCCAAAAACTGTCAAAGAGGGGATGCTCACCCCGCTCCCCATATACACAAGGCAGAAAATGTTAATTAAAAATATGTTGCTTTGGCTCAATCCTAGGAAGAATTTGCCCTTTAATCTTTTTTCTGACATTTGGGGACGAATAAATGGAGGGAATTGTGAGCGCCGCCAAGCCCTGGGAAGTCTTGCTTGATGTGTCCTCACACACGAGGACGAGCTGGGTCGCCCTTTTCTTGGCCGCTAAGGAGGTCGACGCACTTCTCGGATTCCTCACAAGACGTTTCACAATGGCAGTGG